TCCTTACAGCCAGGGGGTAGAGGATGTCATTATTGAAACTATGGCAGTGGGTGTGCATCCGTTCGGTCGTCTTGTTCCTTATATCCTGGGTGGGAGAGGATGATACAACTCCCAATATAGCAGGGGGTGTACATCCTCCTGTGATATTGTTTCCTATATGCAGGGGGAGAGGATGATATTACTCCCAATATCGCAGGGGTTGTACACACCTCCTGCGACATTGTTCCTAATATCCTGAAGGGGGAGAGCATATTACTCACAATATGACAGGGGGTGTACACCTCCTTTGTAATATTGTTCTTAATATCCATGATGGGAGAGGATGATATGACTCCCAATATCACAAGAAGTGTACGGCTGCCTGTGATAGAGTTCCTAACATCTAGGTAGGGAGAGGATGATATTACTGCCCATATCGCACGAGTTGTAAAATCCCTTCGATATTTTGCCTACAATCCTGAGGGGAGAGGATATTATTCCCGATAGCAAAGAAGGTATACAACCCCCTGTGACACTATGCTCAATATCCGCATTGGGAGACGATGACATTACGCCCAATATCACAGGGGATGTACACCCACTCTGGGATATTGTTTCTTATATCGAGAGGGGGAGAAGATGCTATTGCTCCCAGTAACGCAGGGGCTGCGGCTGTACACCCCTCCTGTGATATTGTTCTTAATATCCTAGGGAAGAGAGGGTGATACTACACCCAATATCTCATGGGCTGTACGGTGTCCGCTCAGAGATGTGTGGGGCTCTCTTACACCAGTAATTCCTTCTCTAACTGTAGTCACATACTGGTCATCCAGGGGCCTCCTAAAATCCAGCAGCATAAAAACAAGTGGAATTTCTGAGAACCAAAGATGGCGCACGGTTCTGGTTGGGCTGCCACAGGCAGTTTTGTGAAAAAACAGAGATGTATTTCCCACAGTTCTGGAGTCTGGAGGTCTAAGGTCAAGGTGAGTTCAGGGCTGGCTCCTCCTAAGGCCTTTCTCCTTGACTTTCAGATGGCATCTTCTCTTGTGTCCTCGTGCGGTTGTCACTCTATAGATGTCTGTGTCCTGATCTCTTCTTACAAGGTCATCAATCCTAATGACTTTGTTACCTTAATCACCTCTTTAAAAGGCCTATCTCCACATACAGACGCATTCTGAGGTCCTGGGTTAGGACTACAACCTGGGAATCTTGGGGTATGCAACTAAACTTGAAGCAGATGGGGTCTTATGAACCTGTGTCACCCAAGATCATGCCAGAGCCCCATGAGGGAGCCCCATGTCCCCCTTTGATATGGTTTAGCTGTGTCCCCACCAAAATCCCGTCTTAAATTCTCATGTGTTGTGGGAGGATGGAAGTGATAATTTGACAGCAGAGAAGACAGTTGCCACCAGGGAGGGGAGAGGGGACCCCAGGCCTTCGAAGTTTGGAGGGTCTCGGGCCCCTGGGCAGAGCAGGCAGCCCCACCCCTGTGAAACCCCTGATGACCGCTCAGTAGTTGGAAAAGGTGGAATCATATGCAGAGGCTGGTTGGGGAGATAGGAAGTTGTTGAATGAGTTTTTAAATATTTCCATCAAAATTCTTACTGCACCCTTGGTGTTGATGGGGACTAGTGGCTTCACCATGTGCCTGGCTTCTTCTTGGCTCTGATTCTGGAGGCCTGGCCTAGGGCTGCTGGTTGGATTCATTGCTGGCAGCAGGTAGAAGGTGGAGGAGGGAGAGGAGCTGTCCTCCCTCCTCTCTTACTCATGCCTGTCCACGTTAGCAGCCCCTCCCCAGGCATCCCTTGCCCATGATCTGGGGAGTGCTATTCTCACTTCCCTTGGGCCCTGCCCACCGAACTCCAAAGAATCCCGTCAGTGACTCCTTTTAATCACCCCTTTGCCTGTGACAAAGTCTTCTGGGGCCTCCTGACTGATCTAAGGAGAAGCCTGGCTATCTGTGCAACTTGTTAAAGTGAAGTGAGTCATTCACACTGGCATGTATCTACAAGTCACACAGCTTTGCAACTGGAGTGACTTTAAGCTCATCGAACCAAAGCTTCCATGACAGATGAGGACACCCAGAATCATAGGATAGAAGTGACTTGCTCCCATCTGGGTCGGCCAAGCTGAGACTCAAGCGTAGAGTCTAGCAAAGCACACTTCGTCCTCCCTTAGAAGAAAGATCCTGCCCGCACGGCTCACCTCCACCTACCCTAGGTCTCCCCCACCCTCCCTTAGAGGGAAGCTCCTGCCAGCATGGCTTACCTCCACCTACTCTGGGTTTACCCCACCCTCCCTTAGAAGGAAGGTCTTAGAAGGCAGCACATTCACCTTCCCCTACCCTAGGTATCCCCCACCCTCAGAGGGGAGTCTTTGGGTCAGTCACAAGACTACTCCGGACATCTGTAAGAACAAATAGTTTCCAGCACAGTCCTTTCCTGGGGTCTGCCTTTTCCCTCTGGGATGCTTGGAAAGTTGAAGGAGTCAGGCAATTCAAGTTCTCCCTGGTATCTCAGGGGCCACTGACACACAGGAAAATGTGCTGCTCTGCTCGCTGTTTGACTTTGATGGATGCTAATTTGTTCTAAATGAGCCTGACATTCATGAGCATGTAAACATATGTTACTGGTGGCGGCTCGCAGGGCCACATGCTGATGGATCTCGTGGGCTGTCCCCGCCGGACACCACCAGGCTGCCTGGGTCTTTGCTGCTTCTGGCTAAGGCTCCAGATGTTGTTTTTCTTGCACTATGAAGTAGGCATTTTAGCTACAGGGATATATATATATATATATATATATATATATATATATATTTTTTTTTTTTTTTTTTTTTTGCACAAAAGAAACACAGACAAATCTGTGAAAAGAACTTGAGTTTATGCGCCAATCTACTGGAAGGAGCCTCTTAGAATGTCAGCTGCTCAGTGTCTGCTTTGACTCCCAGGCCGTTCTCTGTCCTGTGGCTCAGAGACTCTGTGGGGCTGAATTATACATTTGATCTCGTTCTGCTCAATATTTCCCCACAAGTAGTGTTTAGGATGCGACTGATGCCTTTAAAGATATCTGCAGCAGGAATAGTGCAGAGAAAAAAACACTCTATGCTAAAATATTTTGAGCTGAAGGCCATTAAGAAGTGCTCTGGCCTTCCCTCTAGTTTCTGAAAAGCACACAACATAATATTATACAAAGACAAAAGTGCCCTTTCTCCCCTCTCTGCCAGAAAGGACGCAGGTCAATCTCTGCAGACAACTTCAGACCCTTATCATTCGGGAAACAGCACCAGAGGAATTTACACAAAACTCTATCATTTATTGGCCTTCCCCCAATTTGTTGCCCCCAATGACCCAAAGTCCTTTTACTTTGTCTTGGCACTTCTATAAACATTTATTATCCTTGTTGAAGATGTTATATAAAAGAAAGCTCTGAGCTGTCTCTTTGAGATTCCCTCATTCCCAGTGTATCTCCCATGTATATATGAAATATACATGCTAATAAGCCTCCGTTTGCTTTTTTTGGGGTTCATCTGGTTTTGTTATAGGAACCCCAGCCAATGAAGCTAAGATGGGTGGAAGATCACATTTTTCTCCCCTGTAGTAGCATTATTCTAGCAATAGCATTTTTTTTTGTTGATTTCTGTTGAATACACACACACACACACACACGCAGACACAGCAATGTAAAAAGAAAGAAGTGTGGGGAGTCCTGATGAAATTTTAGGTCCCAGAGATTCCTAAATATGTTGGGAAGTTGTCTTTAAACATTGATTTTTTTTCCCACATTTACTCTCATATTTTTTTTTTTCTGAGATACCATTTCTAAATTGTTTTCCTACATTTTCTTGCAAGTCCGAGAGAGTATGCTGGTTAGTAGTGTGTCTAATGAACCACCTCTGTCCTTGTCAGTAAAGAAATGTAGTAATTGAGAGGGATATGAGAGTCACACTACACAGGGACGGAAACACAGATATGAAGTAAATAAAAACACGTGAAAACCCAGCATTTCTGGAACTCTCACCTACTCCTGTGCCGATATTCATCCTTCAGCTCTGCCTCCGTTCTTCCCTTCTTTTCTCATGCTATAGGGTCTGCTTTGGCGATGTCATCTACTTTCATTCTTCCAAAGTCAAGCTTCTAGCTTTGGTTGGAACTGCAGACCCATTGACTCATTCAGCAAATACTTTGTAAGCACATGGATAGTCACTGAGAATACCATGGTTCACCAACATGACCGTGGCCCCTGCTCTCACGAACCTGCGGCCTGATGGGGAGAATGGACACTAATATGACAATCACTCTAATGGGTTTCTGATGAAGAATTGAGGAAAGCGCACCAAAGAAAGGGAAGTGGGATTCTCTAAATTTATGCTGTAAAAGAACCTGGTGTATCTTGGGATAAGAGGTAGAAAACCGATGCATTCTGGAAGGTATGATCCCCTTGCAGTCTGGAGAGAAGTAGAGGTTGATTGTTGAGGGGGGTGGAGTGTAGGGACACCACAGTCTAAACAGAGATGGGGGTGCGTGCAGAATGCCTCTTGCAGCAGGAAACAGGCACGTGCAAGGAAGTAAGCACGGGAGAAAATGGCACAAGACAAGAATGAAGGCAGGCAGGCAGGGGCTGGGAGATGATGGTAGATGCTTTATTCCCTTAATAACAGCAATGGCATGTTGTTGAAAGTACTTGAGGGAGGTGGGGAAGTGGATATGAAGTGTTTAGTGTTTGTAAAATTATCACATTGTCTTACCCAACTCTACTCTTTTTTATTTTTAAATTTTAAGTTCTTGGATACATGTGCCATGGTGGTTTGCTGCACCTGTCAACCCATCATTTAGGGTTTAAGCCCTGCTTGCATGAAGTATTTGTCCTAATGCTCTCCCTCCTCTTGTCCCCACCCCCCAACAGGCCTCCGTGTGTGTCGTTCCCTTCCCTGTGTCCATGTGATCTCATTGTTCAACTCCCACTTATCAGTGAGAACATGCGGTGTTTGGTTTTCTGTTCCTCTTTTAGTTTGCTGAGAATGATGGCTTCCAGCTTCATCCATGTCCCTGCAAAGGACAGGAACCCATTCGTTTTTATGGTTGCATAGTATTCCGTGGTATATACGTGCCACATTTTGTGTATCCACTGTATCATTCATGGGCATGAGATATCCTCTTAACATGTGATCCAGCAATTGCACTCTTCGGTATTTATCCAAAAGAGTTGAAAACTTGTGTTCACAGAAAAACCTGCACATGGACATTTATAGAAGCTTTATTCATAATTGCTCAAACTTGGAGGCAACGAAGAAACCAAAATGTTCTTCACTAGGTGAGTGGATAAATAACCTGTGATATATCCAAACAATGGATTATTCTTTAGCACTGAAAGGAAGTGAGCTGTCAAGCCATGAAAAGACACGTAGGAACTTTAAACATGCACGGCTACACAAAAGAGGCCCATCGGAAAAGACTAAATACTGTCAGCTTCCAACTAAAGGACATTCCGAAAAAGGCCAGACTATGGAGTGAAAATATCCGTGGTTCCCAGGTGTTGGGAAGAGGGAGAGATGAGGTGAAACACGGAGATTTTTAGGATTTTAGTGCAACTGCTCTGTACGATGCTATCATGGTGGATACATGTCATGACATATTTGTTCAAACCCATAGAACCAGCACCAAGACGGAGCCCTCATGTAAACTGTGGACTCTGGGTGACAATATGTCAACGTAGGTTCTTCAATTACTACAAATGGTCCTTCTGGGCAGGAGTGTTGTTAGTGGGGGAGGCTGTGCACGTCGGGGAAGGGAAGGCATATAGAAGGACTCTCTGCACCTTTCCCTCAATTTTTCTGTGAACGTGAAACTGCCTAAAAGATAAAGTGTATTTTTAAAAAACAAAGGAAAAAAAGGAAACAAAAAGTCCTCACAAAAATCAAATGAGAAAATGATCACACTGGGTGCTTCAGGTCAAAATGGAAGAACAAGGGCTGTATTTACCATCCCACCTGAGGACTTTTTTCTCACTGCTTTTCAGCATTTTTTTGGAGTCTAGTCAGTGCAATAAGGCAAGTTGAAATATATAAAATGCACCCTTATTAGAAAACAAGATTTAAAACTATCTGTACCTTCAGGTGATGTGATCACCTGTGTGGAAAATCTCCTGAAATCACAAAAAGCCACTAAAACTAATAATAAATTACTTCCTAATAAGTGAGTTTGGAAAGTTTGCAAGATACAAGCTAAACACATAAGCAATATTTATTTCTTTATATACTGGCAAAGAAATAATTGGAAATGGAGATTTACAAAGCAATATTAAGACTAAATCTGACAAAAGATGTGTAAGATCTATACACTGAAAAGCAGGCAGTGATGCTGAGATAAAGAACTAAATAAATGAAGTGATATACTGTGTTCATGGATCAGCAGGCTCAATATTGTTAAGATGTCAGTTCTGCCCTTGTGGATCAGAGGTTTAATGCAATTCCAATCAAAATCCCAGCATGATTTTATTTTTATTTTTATTTTTCCAGTAGAAATGAACTAGCGGATTCCAAAATGTGTCCGGAAATTTAAAGAACCCCAAAGAGCTAAGACAACTTGGAAAAAAACGGTGGAGGACTTACCTGAACTATCAAAACTGGGTTAATGAAACCTCCTAGAGGGTCTAGTAATAATCTCACAAACATGTTACATATACGTAGTGGATTTTTGAATAAAGGTTCAAAGACATTAGAGAAAGGACGATAATGATGATAGAAGGATTAAATACCATAGGCAAAAAAGAGAAAAAAAGAGCTCCTGCTAAATATCTTCACATTGTTGGTGTCACTCATGGAATTCAATTCACATTTTGCGTGTCTAAAAGTTGAACAGAGCTCTTCATTCTCTTTCCCCAATTCACTCCACAGAGATGCTGATGTCTTTCAGTGGAACTTGGAAGTTTGCTCTTCTTTTTAAAATGACTTAGATACTGTTTATGCAAGAAGTTATGGGACTGTAACTTACAAATACTGTTCTAAACCTTGGAATCACATATTCCCCTTTTTCTCTACTTATCGTTTCTAATCAGTTTCCCATTTCCTCTTTCTCCTTCATATTTACACTGCATTCCTTTTAGTTCAGGTTCTTGTTACCCCACTTGACCTCTTGATGCGGTCACCTGAATGTCCTTCGTGTTCCAGCCTCCTGGAATCCTTCCTTCATGACCCTGCAGAACTGCCCTCCAGACCCGCAGGTGTGACCCGGAATCAAGGATCTCAAAGCCGAGTGGGATCTGAAAGGCTATCTAGACCAATCCTCCATTACAGACGTATACCTTTTGATGACTTCACTTCAGAGCCCAAAATATTTGCACTGCAGGCAGAATCACCTAAATCACTTAATGTGATGTTCAGTCTTCCCGTGGTATTTTCCTATCTGCATCTCCCTACTTTCGGTCAGCCATTTCTCACTCATGACACCGAATCCTTAATTCACATTATTATTGTTCTCCACACACACATTTGTTTTCTGCCTGGGTTTTTTGTTACATTATTCCCTTTACTGGAAATATCATTTTCCAAGATGTGACTACAGAATTTTAACATATTCCTCAGAATGATTCACATATCACATATTCTACCAAATGGCTGCAGATTCTGTCACCTCCTCTCTTATCCTACGGCAACCTGGAGAACGTTCTTCTCTTAGCCAATAGGATTTATCATGGTCCTTTATCTTAACAATAGTTTAGCAGGACTGAGAACTGGGAAGTACATTTTTCTCCCAGGGGTGAGAACTGTCTTAGTTTAGCAGATCTCTCTGGGTCTCCATTCTGGTTGTAGAAAAGCAACCCATAGGGCATGGTGGGGAGGAGAAGAAGGGGAACTAAGCTGTTTTGCATGAAGATGGACAGTTGTGACTCTTACTCCGGGGTTGGGAGTTGAGGCCCCTAGGAAGGAGAAGCTGTAAGGATGAAGACGAGGCATAAAAAGTGATGCAGGCCGGATGCGGTGATTCACGCCTGTAATCCCAGCACTTTCGGAAGCCAACGTGGATGGATCACGAGGTCAAGAGTTCAAGACCAGTCTGACCAATATTGTGAAACTCTGTCTCTACCAAAAATACAAAAATTAGCTGGGTGTGGTGGCACGGACCTGTAGTCCAGCTACTCGGGAGTCTGAGGCAGGAGAATCACTTGAACCTGGGAGATGGAGCTTGCAGTGAGCCAAGATCATGACACTGCACTCCAGCCTGAGTGACAGTGAGACTTCATCTCAAAAAAAAAAAAAAAAATGCATAGTAAAAAGACTGCGTGAGGAGAAGAGGCAATCAGCAACCTTCTCCAGGGTGGGATGGCTGAAGGCCCTTTAAGAAAAAAGGTGTCTACTTTCCTTCTGTAGGTTGCTCTATCGTGATTTAATGAACCCTCCCAATCTACTGTATTCAGTATTTGGCATGAATCAATTTAGGGGAATTCTAGAAAACATAGCTGGCTGTTATCATCAGGTTAATGTAGATTGGGAGGAAGGGAAAAACCCCAGGAGACACGTAGGAAGGACAATAGGTGAAAATAGAAGAAACTTGGAGTCAGTTCACCCTTCAAACAAAATCCAGTTTCTAGAAAACACTGTGAGGGCTGCTGGGTCTTCATCATCCGAAGATAGGGGATTCCAGATAACTATACTTGAATCGCACAAGATGGGGGTGATCACCACCAGCTCTCAAATGGGATGAGTTACAATATCTTCTATCGGGAGGAGGTAAATAAGAGGATAGGTACACGTCTGTAGTCATCACAATTTTGTCAAGATTACTCTTTTTACTTCCATGTCATAGAGGGAGAGCCTGATGCTTGTGGAAATGATTTGCTCAGGGTCTCACCATCAAAAGTTGCAGAGGAAAGATTCCAACATGTTTTAAAAGCTGCAAACTGAGCTGACTCCCATCCATGCTGTCATAACGACTTTGAGATTTCAATCCTCCTGAAGGCAGGAAACTTATTCCATTTGCTTTTATATCCTCCATAACACTAGCGAGCAAGTTTTGCTCAAAGTAACATGGAATATTTTGCTGACTCAAGGGGAAAAAGAAGAGACTTAAATACACCATCACAAGTCAACATTCAAGGAACAGAGACAGATTTAGAATTAGCTGTCTCAGTCAAATCACCATTAACATGTACGTTTATCCTTTACATGGGAGTAAGACAGCAAACACAATTGAAAAAATGAGCCAAGTGTAAAAATTTGTCACAAAGGGATGGATTTAGACAGGAGAGCAGTGAAGTAGGTTATAAAATGGTCAGCATAATCCATTTTAATGACTTATTAGCTGAAACATGCAAAGCATTTAGGATTTCTGGGAGAAGTGTACAAACACACCAAATGTTTGTCTGACATTTTCTTCACTGCTTCTGTCTTTCCACAGGGCTGGAGATGTTGACCAACGGCCTTGGGAGGAGAGGTTGCAGCTGAGCCCACACCCTCTCAAACTCCTTCAGACTGTTTGTTTTTGTAGACTACTTTACCATTAACAACAAATCCTAACATTTACTCAATCAGTACAGCAGTCGTTGGCCAGAGTTCAAATTTCTGATTCGAAGGAATCTGCACTCTGCCTGCCAGGATCGACTATCAATGGCTTCGTCCGTAGAGGAGCTATGTGTTTGCTCACTACGGAAGAGTATTGAGGCTTTGAAAGGGGTATTTTGCTGGTCACCTCCTGGTCATCCTTCTGCTCACCAAGAATAGATACTGTTCTCAGCCCCTTACATTGGCAAGGTCGTTTAATTCTCACATAGCCCTTTCAGATAGATGCGACTATTACCCCCATTTTACAGAGAAGGAAATCGAGAGGCAGAGGACATAGGCGAATTGTCCCAGATCACAGAGCTGGCCACGGAGCTGCGACTTACACCCGGTCAGCCTGGCTCCAGAGTTCCCTGCCCTCCTCCTGTACAGCACGTGTGACCTGCAGTAATCACCGCCCAAACAGGCAGGCACTGCGGATAGCCAAGCACATCTCTTCCGACTTCAGCACGGAGGAAGGTTCCTTTTCATTCTGGTGTTCAGCTCGGGACTGTGTTTATCACCACAGGGGCGCACAACCCAGAAAGCTCAGTCACGGGCCGTTGCCTTCTACGGTCATGGTTTTCTACTTTTTGGCCCCATTTTCCTGCCCACTTGGCCTGCTGGGACGTGAATGATGCGTTAGTACTTCTACAGGATGCAGGTAAGCAGGTGGCATGGCGAGGTGGGTGATTGGACAAGATTTCCCGACAGCTTGGGGGAGACCCGCGGTGGCACCTTGTTATTCTTCCCTCTGGGGTCGAGCGTGAGTCCCTCATCGCTGGTGCCAGGCGGTGTCACAGTTTTTAGCACCCGACAGCCAGGGGGGCTTCTCTGTCCAGCTCCCCCCGCCCCGCTTCTTTAGTGAGAGAAGTTCTCTGACTTGAGATTTTTGCAGTCAGAAAAGTGATCATTACAATTTTCATTTTGAATATTGTGGCCCTGCTGGACTGCGGTGCAACAGGCTCTTTCATGACGACTGGCAGAGATGCTGACGGCTAGGGCTTCGGGATCAACGGGAGCGAACAGGACTCGTGGGATACAGCTTTTAGCTCCCCCAGGAGGGAGCCACAGAAATGTGAATCTGCTCTTCACATGGCCGTAGCCTCTCCCGTGTCCTCCATGGAACCTGTGGAGGCAGCGTTAGGCGCTGGCCGGCTCCGGGGTGTGAGCTCAGTGAGCAAGAGAACATCTGCCCTCCCACCCCCATCTCCGCAGCTGAGTCCTCTTGCATTTTTGATTTTTAGAATGAACGCAGCAACCTGCCCCATTCTGCTGATGCTGCAAAAAGGAGCTGGAAAAGAACGTGCACAGCTTCTCCAGTCTTAGTATTTGTTACCTTGTAGTTTGGGAAACTTTGGCTTGAAACTTGGCTGCCCCAGTACAAGGATGTGCTGAGGATTCTATGATCCTGCTAGATTTTTCCAGGAGGTCAAGTTGAAAACGAGCTAGGTGCTCTCTCTGCCTCTGTCATTCTTTCTGTTTCTCTTTCTCTTGTGTCTGTCCCATCTCCCTGTTAATCTGTTTGCCTTTTCCTCTCTTCTCTCTCCATCCCTCCCTCCCTTGCTATTGCTCCAAAGAATATTCTTGTTGAATTTGTTTCTCCATATCTTCTGCCTTTCCTTAGAATACATTCCTAAGAGTCTACTCATTGTGAAAAGCAAACGGCCTTTAGAGGTTTTCCAAATCTAACAGATGGGGGTCCTTTCAGACAGAGCTTCATTTTACACTTTTATCAAGAAGCCCGTGGCTCCCTGCTCGCCATGCTGCAGTCGCCCTCAAGAGGTTCATGGAGAGCAGAGGGCTTGGGGGTACATTAAGGGGTGTCTTTTTTCCAATGTCCCAAAGGTGTACTCTGGGGAGGGGGCAGTTGAAGTAGGAAAGTGACATCAGCACTTCCTGTATGGCATGGGTTGGTCAAGTACAGTGTGCACCCGACCCCCGGACTGGCTTTAGGTGGGGAAAAAGGACTTCAGTTATTACAGGGTGGGTTGGGCTGGTGGCTCCCCAGCTCTGGGGACAGATGCGTCGTCTTTCGAAGCCAGGTAGCACCTGTCTCAGACTGCACAGCCCTCCTCACCTCTTCAGTTCCTGAAGGGAAAGACCCCAGGAGACTGAGGTGAAGAACGCTCTTCCATTTTCAACTCACCCACCATTAGGGTTCTGCCCCCTCTATCCTCCAGCCCCCGAACCATGAAGTTCCCAGGGTCCCTGGCCAGTGACTTGCTGAAGTCTCCCTCCCCAGGACCTCTGTCTAGAGGTACCCTACTCGAATGCATGCTTCTCCAGGAATATTTGCTCTGGTAATAGCTGAGACTAAAAAGCCATGTCTAACAGTTTGATTGCAGGTGGGTGGCCCCGGGGCAAGTGATTTTGGGAAGATGGGGCTGGCTGGTGCCCTGTGTCCTGACTTTTCTTCTGAGCCTCTGCAAAACCACTTCTGAGAAAATCGGGGTGGGTACTCCTGGGTGGCATTTTCTTCTAAGTGAAAATCTGTAGAATTCCTGCATTTGCGGGAGCTGGGGTTTTCTGTCACGACCTTGTGGGGACAGGGGCTGCCCTTCTGTGTCCTGGCAGTGTGGGGCCTGTTTCTTATCCAGACTTACCCAGACTCTTCTTATCCAGAAGAGTCAGGTGCCTGGCCAGTGAACTGCCCAACTCCAATTTGTAGGTCGCTCGTATCGACCTAAAATGAAATAATAATGAACTCTAAAACATCCCATTTCTGGCATTAAAGAGACCCAGGAAGGGAAGGCTTATAGCCGGCTTCTTCACAATCCAACTGTAGGTAGGGTAGCCGGATCCTGGCATCCGTATCTCCTGCTGGGTGAGGGTCACAGGATCTCAGCGCCCAGGTGAGGCAACGATGTTGAAAGAGGCTTCAGAAGAACTGGGCCAGAACAGTGGAATCAAACGGAAAAGACTGGAAATTCAATCAGCTTGGGGAATAACCAGAGAGCGCCTGTTGGCCCAGCAAGGATTGAAAACAGATTCCCAGCAACAGGGCCATAGCAAAGCTCTCTCAGCACACCTGCCCCGGACCATCAGCTGATGAGAGCTTGTGATTTTGCCATGCAAGGAGACGTAGCTATTGGGTCTTCAGCTGGTTCTGGGCACAGGGAGTCTAAGACCCTTGGAATTTTTCGAGTGGGCAGAGTGCCTTTGTGTAGTCGGGACAGGCCTGGGAGCTGGGGGCCCCTAGGCAGTTTCAGGGTGGGTCTGGGGTTCAGGAAGACCAAGGCAACAGTAGAGGGCTGGAGCTGTCAGTCTCCAACCCAATCTCTGACCTGGAGGGAGAGGGCTGGAGATGAGTCAATCCCCAATAGCCAAAGATGTCATCAACCATGTCTACAGTGACACCTCTAGAAAACCCTAAATGGTGGGGTTGGAGAGCGTGGGGTTTGGAGAGCTTGCAGCTTGGGGAAAACCTTGACATTCTGGGAGGGCAGCATTCCCACTCCCCAGGGATAGAAGCACTTGCAACCCGCCCCCGCCCACCAGGCCTGGAGCAATGCACCTCTTCATCTGGCTGTTCACAGGTCCTTCATAACGAACTGGTGACAGTAGATAAAGGTGTTGCCCTGGGTGCCATGAGCCAGTCTGGCAAGTTATTGACCTTAAGTAGAAGGACATGGCAACCCCGATTTTTAGGTGGTCAGTCAGAAGCAAGGGAGGCCTGAAACTTGCTATTGGCGAAGCGGGGGCCGTCTCATGGGACTGAGACCTTGACCGTGATTTTTCCTGGTGCAGCACTATGTCCAATTTCATAGCTGAAACATCAATAAATATTTCAACTGCTTTAACGTTAATGTGCAAGTTGTACTTAGGGGTATAACATCTGCCATTTAGATTTGGGGAGGACCCTCAGAACCAACTTCCGGGCCACCTGCCACATGTACATCAGCAATGTGGTGCAACTTGAACTCTGCAAATCAAGCCTCTAATGTCTTAGGGGAATCTGAACCTTCGATTTCATGCCCCGTGCAAGGTGAGTCCTTCCGAGAACACCCCTGGAGCACTTCGCACATGGTTCAGTGCTGATCAGTTCTCAATGATCTGTGCCACCAACACTTTGATGCTTTGAACAACAACGTCCTATATCCCCCTCCAACTGCAAGCTACAGATCTGATTAGCGAGCCAAGAGCCTCACGCTTCAGAGGGGTGGAGTGTGCATTAGTGACAGTTAAACTGTTTAGAAAGAGCCTGAAACAGCCGGCACCCGCTGGGCTGGAGTACAGGTGCCTAAATAGTGCAACAGCAGAAACATAAGCTAAAGTCACAGGAAGAAAAATTCACATTAAAATTACACTGAAAGATTCTTCACCTATCATATTGGTAAAAATAAAAGGTAATAGGGCAGATAAGGGAGTGGAGAAAGAAGTGCTGCTGTTTACCGCTCAGCGGGGTGTATAGCCTCACAGGCTTCAAAAAGACAATCATCATAAAAGCCACATCGGTAGTTCTCTTTGAAACAGAACTCCCACTTCGAGAACTGTTTCCATTTGCCACGAAGGGGTCACTCACCGCAGCAGCATAAGAGGGAAAATCACCAAACAGGGCAGGCTCAAATAACCCTAGTGCTCCCACAACGTAGCACTGTGCCACCTCGAGAACAGCACGGAGCTCGTTACGTGCTGACAAAGGACACCAAGATATGAAATATGCGTGTGTAGGCAGTCTATCACATCTGTCATGTTTCTGTCAGTTTCTCACATCTATCATGATGTGAGAAAACCCCCAAACCCAGGCAGAGAATACACACAGGGTGGAGGGCGCGCGCTTCTGTCCCACAGCCCCAGGTGCCTCTGACAGGGAGCATGGGAAGCTCGCGGTTGCTCACACAGTCACAAAGGAGCGTTTCCATTGTGTCCTTCAGAACTTTTTGAAGATTTTACCATGAAGCTCCATTTATTTGAAAACTAAATATTAAAGAAAGGGAGCCCAGGGGGCCTGGCCACAGCTGGGGGGCAGGGAGTGGGCTGGACACAGGGGCTGGAGGGCGTCCACAGGGAATCGGGTTAGTGAGGCAGAGGGAAGCCCAGGGCTGCCTTCATTTCTTTTATGCCAAACCGGGCGAACAGAAAGGCAAGAGTTTCTGGAGCGCCTGGCCCCAGTGCAGCTCACCATGAAGGGGCATGAGGGGTCTGCCTGTGTGAGACTCCACGGGGAAGGGGACCCTGCTGAGACCCACCTGACCTGGCGTTCTGCACCCGCTGCTGATGGTGGCAGCACTGCTCGCACAGGCATGGCTACCCTGCTGGGCTTGAGCCCACACCCCATGCCTGGAGGGCTCAGCAGGAGACACAGGCTCTGGGGACCCCAGCTGAGAAAAGAGCCAGGTTCCCTTTCAGGGGCCAGAGAGCCAGGGGCTGATGCTGCCTGTGACCCCGTGAGTTGAGCGCCAGGTGTGTACACCCTGAGATTGGTAAAGTGGCTCCTGGGAGGTCCCTGGGCACGCCTTGTGGGGCTGGTGGGAGGCACGGTGGGCCCTGCAGCTGGGTGCTTCCTCACGCATCTGTGGAAAAGGCTTCTGAGACTTGGAAAAAGGGCTCTACTGCTGAAAACAGGCTTCACGGTCACACAGACTCACATTCCTTGGTTTTCACACGTATCTGCCATGGGGGCAGCCAAGCTTGGCTGTTCCCACTCTGACTGGTGCCTTAAGGTGATGGACGGGCACGTCCTCTGGGGCAGAGAAGGGAAGCTGCCCAAGCACCAGTGTGGACACTGCACTGGCTCAGAAGCCTTCCAGGGAAGAGGAGCCTGAGGCCCCACTGTGCAAAGCTGCTCTTCCCCATCTTTTCGATCACTTCCCAGGAGAGGGAACGCTGCCTCAAATGTCTGAAGCCTGACAAGAGCTTCAGAAGACTGGGAATGAGGCTCGCAGCCAGAGGACTGCGAGCGTAGTCCACAGGAACGCAGGAACGTGGGAACACGGGAATGTTGGCTTTGGTGATGTGTGTTAGAAAAGCATTTAATAACCGGTTAAACTGTGCGGCTTGCAACGCACACTCACCTCCAGGCATCACGAGGCTGACATCCTGCATGGTGAGCACGGAGAGCTTCTCTTCTGAGTCCAAACGAATGACTCCATAGGTCAGCCCATGCGTGGAGAGGACGCCCCGGCCCGGGGGCTGGTTACTGTCATCCGTGGGCCTGTAACGACAGTTTTTAACTTGAATATGCAGGGGCAGACAAGCCATCACAACCACAGCTGTGCAGTCAGCACACACGCGGCAGGCTGGGTACCCCTGGGAACAGTGCCGGCCACCCACGTGGCCGCATTAGGGGGTGCTCCTTCTGTTTATGAACGGCTGCTGGCGAGTCTACTGCTTCCGCCTCTACGTTCTCAGGAAATCTCAAGAATACCTGAAAACTACGAAGGCAGCTCCTCTCCTGACCTCTCTATGCAGGTCCTGCACAGACCGGCTCTCTCTGTCCTCCCAGCTCCTGCTCACTGCGTGGTCTGCTCTTCCAGTTTCCAAACGTCTGGAAGGGGGTGCATCCACTCCAAGAATGCAGACAAAACCACTGAACAGAAATGATGGAAATCCTGACTGTTCAGCCTCAATTCAGACACAGGCTGTCTGGGTGTATGCCCAATTTTATATATAAGAATCTAAAATAAGATTGATGCTGTGCCATTCTGGCTGCCAAGTTCTAAGGAAAATTATTTGGGTGGCAGGCAAGCTGTAGAATGAACTGTGGCACCACTCTGGGGTCCGCCCCACCTCCTCTGCCGGACACCCCAGCTTGCTCCCGCTTTGAGGCTTCTGTGCTGGTTCTCGCTGCTACTCAGGACGTTCCTCCGGCAGACCTCCGCACGGCCCTCTCCCTCCGCGTCTCCAGAGTTTGGCTCAAATTTGAGACTTCTCATCCCCTCAGAAAACACTCCCCACCCAGCGTGTCCACCCATAGCACACATCTCTGACTACCTGTGCGACCTCCTCCTCAGACCCAACTCTCCAGTTTGTTTTGCTCACTGCTGCATCCCAGCCCTGGAAAATGTCTAGCAATAGATATCTGCTGACTGAATTTGTGAACAAATAAGTTAAAATCTAAGATCATGGATTATATTCCTGAAAACTAACAATTCCTCAATGGTTATCTAAGGGAGTCACCACAATTTAGGTACACATCACATTTGTTTCTGTAATTTTCCATATGTAAACCTTTAATGCACTTTACACTTAAAAGCTGGACCTAAGCTTGCTGTTTAACTTTAAAATATTATGGTTTATAATGAAGCCGAAGACATAAATGAGGCAACATAAAAGTTAAAATTTGCAAGAGGAGATCGCATTGGAATGAATTAACTGGTGTACTGAAAAAAACATGAAAGACTCCTGAAACAGAAGTATTCTAGATGTAAGAATCAAAAGGGATAGAGCTAATCAGATAGAAAAGCAAAGTCTGCCCAAATAAGAAAACCCACAAGGAACCACCTAGATGGCGTGAGCTCAAATCACTGGGCTTTACACATTATTCTCCTGGCCTTTACTTCCCAGAGATCTCAAAAAAACTAAAACTTCAAAATGAAAACACAGTGTTGTCAGTGGTCCTGCCACCATTCCCTCACCCTAACAGTCCTCTACAAAGATCGATGTGGGGAGTCAGGAACTGTGAGCTTCAGTATCTGCCGTGGGTTGAATCGTGTCCGTGCAAAAGATCACCCCTCGTATCTGTGACCTTATTTGGAAGCCGGGCCTGTGCAGAGACAGATACCCCTGGACTTACAATGGGGTTACAACCTGATAAACCCATTGTAAAGGTGAAAATCGCAAGTTGAACCACCTTAAGCCAGGGCCATCTTATGACCAGGTTAAGATGAGGTCATACTGCGTTAGAATGGACCCTAAATCCAATGACTCTGTCCTTGAAAGAGGAGAGAGAGGCCCAGACACAGGGAGAAGCTCACATGATGATGGAGGCAGGGACTGGAGTGACAGGTACCCCATCCAGGATCGCTGAGCACCCAAGGCCGGGGTGAGGCCTTGGGCGGGTTCCCTCAGCACCTCCAGAGGCCCTGCCCTATGACACCTCGGGGTCTCCGACTCCACCCTCCAGAACTGAGACAAGTGTCTGTTGTTTAAATCACCCACTGTGTGGTACTTTGTTACAAGAGGCCAAATCCACTATCTTAGTGATAAAAATTTAAGGTATACTTAGTTTTGTTTTTAAAAGCCACATGACAGCAAAACGCTGGGCTAGCCAAGATTCCGAACACTGGCCTGCCGGGCAAGAGGATGGGAGGAAAAGTTATCTTAGAGCCCAAATCACGTATGTTTTGTTATCTCCATTACAAAATCCCCCCCTTTTTATCTGAGACATGGTTTCACTCTGTCACTCAGGCTGGAGTGCAAGGGCGCACACAGAAGTGTGGTGTTCAGGCAGGCACAGAACACAGGCAGGCACACAACACAGGCACAGAACACAGGCACACAACACAGGCACAGAACACAGGCACACAACACAGGCACACAACACAGGCACAGAACGCAGGCACAGGCAGGCACAGAAGCGTGGTGTTCCCCCCCCCCCACACACACACAGGCAGGCACAGAAGTGCGGTGCTTCCGACACACAGCCAGGCACAGAAGCGTGGTGCTCCCAACATACAGGCCGGCACAGAAGCATGGTGCTCCCAACACACACACAGGCCGGCACAGAAGCGCGGTGCTCCCAACACACGCACAGGCCGGCACAGAAGCGCGGTGCTCCCAACACACACACAGGCCGGCACAGAAGCGTGGTGCTCCCAACACAAACACAGGCCGGCACAGAAGCGTGGTGCTCCCGGCACACACAGCTGGGCACAGAAGCGCGCTGCTCCTGACACACAGGCAGCCTCACAGCCCCACCTCGCCACAGACGTGGTGTCCAGGGTCACCCCTTAACTTCTGACCTGGTGGTGCTGATGCCTCCCCCTACAGATGGCAAACCAATGCCCTAGTGGTACCCTCCATGTGCCAGATGGTTCTGAGTCATGCATAGTGACTCAAAACTCACCACAAGCCTATGGTTATTATTCCCCAATTTGAGATGAGAAGACTCGGGCACGGAAATGTTGACTTCACCGCCCAAGTGAGTGCTGGGGCTTGGCAGCACTCAGATCCAGAGCACAGTCTCTATTCCCAGGACACTGAGTGCATCAGTCTACTGCTCTCTTTTTATAGAAACTTAGAAGCAAACAGTACAACCAACGCGAGCACATTCTTAGTATGAACAAGGCAAACATCACAGTTCAAAGGGAAAGTGCCTGTTTCTGCGCCAATCCTGTGCCCCACAGATAACCACTATGGAGATTTTTATATGTCAAAGTTTATACTCTAAGATATGCAGTTAAGTGTAAAATATGTATGTACAGCAATACATTGCTTTTTTAAAGAAAAGCACAATCAAGATGCTTCTTCTATGTTGGCAGAGAAGTTGAGTGTTGGGAGAAGCTGAGTGTTCCGAGAAGCTGAGTGTTGGGAGAAGCTGAGGCAGGGCTTCCATATCTGACATAACGTAAGAGTCTTGGAACACGTCCAGGGTCCAGGGTCTGAAACTCCTCGTGGCCTTTGGAACACCAAGCTCTGTGCTAAAGGGTGGAAGGCTACCCTGACGCACCATTATCTAAGCCCAGGGCGTACACCTCCCTGTCCACTGTGAGTGTCGGGGCTCCAGTAGTCCTCCCTGTCTACTTGCTGGGGCTGGGATAGGCCTCCCTGTCCACCTATGAGTCCCATGCACTGCAAGACGATGCTATGCCAAAACTGCTCCATGAGGCTTCACACAGGGGCATTGTATTTCATTCACTGCTAGGCTCTACACTCACTTTTATGACCCCAGGAAGGACTGAGACTTAAATAGAATAGGGGCTAGGTGATACAAACGGCCGCTGTAATCAGAACATACCAAGACCAGGCCACAAGGAAGGAAGGAGAAGCCCCTGCCACAGCCTTTTACCAAGTCGCTGACATCTCTGTCCAACATGGATAAAAAGACCCTTTTTCTCTGAGTCTAAAGCAACATATCGGCCCACGTGACAGTAATTCTGTTGTACATTTAACTTCATCTTGCTCTTCTCAGTGACTGTTCATGCTCTTAACACCTGCACAGAATTTCTCAGTTGCTGAACCACTGTTAGTTATTCAGCAGATAAATGACAGCCGATTGACCCCAGGAAGAAACACACCCAGTCACGGGCACAGAACGGGACTCAGCCACAAACCGTTTACCAGAAAAAAATGCATCTCTGCTTTGGGACGTACCATCGCCGGTCTCCCTGAGCTCCGCGTCGCCATACTTGGATGCTGTCCGGGACCCCGTGGAACCCTGTGGTCGCTCCATCTGTATAGAGTGCTCTGAGGTGTACGGGCTTACGTCAGGAGGTGCAGGATGATTTTCTGTAAGAAGCCATCATGAGTGTTTCTGGTGGTTGGTGACGTTTGCTCTGCAGGTTGAGCAAGCCATAACTTAGGAGGAGACTGGAGCGCGTTCGCTCACCCTGGGGGTGCCGTGAGGAAGCCAAAGCCCGATCTCAGCCATGTCTGCCACAAACATCCGGCACAAAGGGGGACCCGGCATAACTCATGTTGCCGGAAAATGGTAGAGTTCGGTGAAACCTCAATTTCCTAAGAGGAGCACGTCAGCGGCGTTTTTAACTAGAATAACGTATACACGGCGATGGCAGGGCACCAGGAACCGTGTGTGTGTTCATGAAAGGGTCCCGTTTCCCTGTCGGCCACGTCGACACAGCCCAGGACTTTACTGGCGCTTTGGAGCCAGGCCTGGAAATGGAAACCCGGCTCTGGAAACTTCTGGGGATTTGGGGATATCCCTTAAGCTCTCCGTGCTCAGTTTCTTCATCAAATAGGAAACAGTAATGGCTAATGACCATCGTAGGGTAGTTGGGTGGATTACATGAGTTAACACATATACAGTTCATAGGATTTCCTTTACAAAAGGGGAGACATAAAGAACTACTATTATTTGTCTTAGTACAAACAATACTAGTCATTCAAAAAAACCACTTTACACCCTAATGTGTACTCAGGACTGCCTAAGGCCAATGAGCGCATGGAGCTCTTTCTCTTACAGCACCCCGTGGAGAGAAAGTCAAGCCGTAAGCGGCTAAATGGGGAAAAGTATGCTTTGCTAGTTAATGAATAAAACGTTGAGGAAGATGTGCCAAGCAGCCCACTGAGGACGCCCGTCACACCCAGAATCTTGAGGATGGGCACCACAGTGCAGATCTGGATTCTGAAGCTTTTCAGGATCACCCACCACCATCCCACGCAACAGAAGCCACAGAAGACACAGAAGTGTGATATTCTGTGCTGCTGAAAGTGGTGCTCATCCTCAAAAGCCTTTCTTCACCGGACACTGCCCATGTCAGCACCGCGCCCGGAGGCCATTTAGATGGCGAAATCAACTGAACGCACAAAAACAGCACACAGAAAATCGAGGCACAAAACAGGCCGTGAAACGATGCTCCTTTAGGATCCGAGAACCGGGGGGGGTGGGGGTGCTGAGCCGCCTGGGCACCGCGTCAGCCCCTCCTGAGGGTGTCAGTCTGGCGTCACAAGTCGATTTGGCAACGCCACCACTGGAACCCGTGACTGAGAAGAGAATGATCGGCTCTCACTAAGGGGAGGTCCGCCACACCGTCCGTCAGTGCCACGACTTTCCACCTGCAGGCAGGCCGCCCGACTTCCTGCAGAACCAACCCTCAATCCTCAGGGATTGGATGGTAGCGTCTCGGAGGCCTCCTCTCAGCTCCGAGGTGTGAAGCGCTGCAGACAGCTTCTAGATGGGCAGCGGGTAAAGCAGTAGAAAAAGAAAACTAGAATGCGATTTCCTATCTTATGCCAAACTGGCTTGACTGTGAAGATACATATGAGATGTTCCTACTTAACTGCTGGCATAAATTGGTGGAAAAAATCCACAAAGGACTTGAGATTTCGCTTCAACAAGTAGAAGCGCGGCCAGCTCTGTGAGACTGGGTGACCTGGAGTCTGCAGCCCTGGGCTTATTCCCTCTCGACGAAAGCAGCCTCTGTGGCCTCCCTTCCATCCCTTGGAGGGTTGGCAAGTGTGACTATGTTGTGCCTGGACTCCTTAGAACTCTCACACGCATGC